GTTTATATTAGTGCCTAGTACAAGATCTTTATATATATATATATATATATATATATATATATATTAAAAAAAAAAAAAAGACTAGCTCGTGGCTTCGCCACGTTAATCAACCTTTATGGAGGCCAGGAACACTCACAGAGGCATTTCAGCCTCTTTTGGCCACATCGTGCAATTCACCAACGCAAAAAAAATTGAACTTATTAGGATGTGTTGTATGGAATATACATACCTGAAATTTATCCCCAACCACTGGGCCACCCCATAGTGATTGTACAAGATCTAAAATTGAGTTTAGTCCATTGGTGCTACAAAACTTCAGCTTCATTGACTAAATATCGTATGATAATGCTCTATTTAAATGCCAACATTTATATTGCATGTCTTTTCTTCTTTCTTTTGTAATTTCATGATTTTTCTTTTTTTATGTCTACGCTAATTCCTTATAATATATTTCGGTACAAATATTTAGGTACACTAACTCATTATAAGCATATTTTAGTACAAACATTTTGATATACTAATTCATTATAATATATTTCAGTACAATTATTTTTGTACACTTATATATTTACATATTCTTCTTATGTGTCATTAATTTCTTTGAATGTTTTCTCATTTAGATTTATTTATAATTGGAAGAACTAAAATGTGCATATTAATAAAATCAAAATTTTAATGTGGAAACATTAAATAACAAAAAAATAATAATATGAATTTTAATAAAAGTACTCTTCAAAGAATTAAAATCAATATGTAATCTAACACTAAATTTGTTTTAAATTTCAATTTTTTTCAAGGACTAATGTTCACAAGCCCTTAAAAGTATCAATCACACTTGATATATGGACTTAAACAGAAACGGAGACGACTTTATTAGGTCTTTTTCAATTAATTTCTAATTGTTTTTGTAGAAACACACTAGAATCACTAGTGCGGAATCATATTATGATCTCCAATTATGTGAAAGTTATAATTTAAAATGCCAGCTCCTATAATGGAATTTGCAACTGATCAGTGACCAATTCCAAGGTGTCAAAGGCTCGATTAATGTCAATGTTCATCCAGTTCATGTAAATTGCCTTACACAAATGTATGGTCTGGCTGCTAACCCTATCATGGCCTGCAAATAGATAGAGATATCCCCAATAGGGACTTTATCCTTCTTGAGGCTACCACATTTGTAGCTCTAATGAAAAATATCATCCCCAATGGGCCGGAAAATAGGACTACATCCACCACAAGGGCTAGCAACTTCAATCCTCGGGTAGCAAGAAGTTATGCTACATCTAGCCCCAAAAAGTAGGGGGACCACACCAAATTGAGGCCCCAGTCTTGGTTCTTGTTTTTGTTTTTGTTTTTTTAGTTTAGGAATGGGTGAGCCCCATTTTTAATTCCAAAACATGATTTTAAGGATTTATTTTTCAACAGTTTAGGATTTTAAGAGTTTATTTTCAACTGTTTGTTTGATTAAGAAAACATATACAAACAACGACTATTTTTTGTGTTGTTGATTAGAAAAAAATGTTGTGCTTCGTGTTTAATTTTCTAGAATGAAAAATTCATAAAAAATAAATAAATAAATAAAAAGATGAAATTTAACATTGGTAGTTTAGAGACCTAAACCGAAAATATAACCAAATAATATAACTAAATTGTGATAAGATAATCCAATCCAATGATTGTTATGAAATGAAAATCTTGATTGATTTCGGAGAATGTGCCAATCAGAGAAATAAACCAATAGTTGTTATGAAATGAAATTTTATCTTGTCTGATTTCATAGATACAAACCAACATATGAGATTGAGATAAGATAATCAAAATCAATTATTGTTATGAAACGAAATCTTATCTTGTCTGATTTCATAGAAACAAATCAATGAATGAGATTGAAATAAGAGAACCTACAACGGTGCATAAGTGATGACACGTCCAATAATCAAGTTTAGAGAAGGTAAGACAATAATAAATTTACTGCGTAATCAAATTACTACATAATAAAATATATAGCGCCATATAGAGCTCGAAAGATATATAACCCTTTATTGGGAGAGATTCTTTTTTAGGGCCCCAAAGATTCCTCAGAGCTCTAAATTTGGCTACATCCACCACTTTTCTAACCTCATATAGAGCCCTTCACTGGGGATACTCTAATTAGGTCTAGATGAAGTCCATACTCATACTTCCACTTTGATGGTCAACCTTAGAGGAAGAAAATCTTTCGATCATGGACACAAAACATAATTTGTTTTTGTTCACAAAAATATAATTTGTTTTTGTATTCACTATTTAGGTCGGTAGGTATAATACTCAATTGCTCACCTTTCATGCACACTAAGCAACTATGTTTATGAGAGTTGTAGTGATAGCATCTGCAAATTAAAAAATTGAAACAATCTGGGCAAAAAAATTATACTGACTTCTTAAAGCTACTTAAAGATCACTCCTTGTTTGTTTGTATTTGTTAGCCATTATAATGCATATGGTATTGGTCAATTCGTTTGTTTTTAACAAATGCGTTGACGTTGGACATACCATTTAGAGATTAAAAAATCAACCATACATGATTAACGCAGTTTTGTGACACTATAGTATACTGAAACATGACTCAATATAACCAGCTTCGCACAAACTTGTAATATATAATCATGTATTAGGGATTACTTTGCTATTGTAGCTAGGTTAATTCCTTATATATATGGCACAAAACCACTTCTTTTGGTTTACCTCAAAATCTGGTTTCATGACCTGAACTTATTGTTTAGGTTCTCCTTTAACGACCATCAATATTTATCCTTCAAAAAATTACGCAATCTAAACATGATTAAATTAATAGATAAACTCAATGTTTCGATAAAAGAACTAGTTTAATCGTCATGGTCTGAGCCGGGTTGCATCACTTAGTCCATACTTAACGCAATGCAGCAGAGCTCTTGCATATTTAACCTTTCAAGTCAGATCCAATACACGTACCATGAAACTAGAGTCCCACATTACAAACTTTTTGCATTTTATTTTGTTGCAATATCTAAATTTCTTCTAAATCAATTTGAATCAGGGTTGTGATGGATAGACTGTGTGCAGTATTCATCAAACATTCACATACACAAGTGGAATATGATCAAAAGGGTAGAGTAGGTACATTAAACACACATAAAATAATTTTATTCATCCAATAATTATTTGTCATACATAAAGGACATTGGCCCATCATCATCTACTCAAAACCCCAAATTGACATAGCACGAGATTTTTGTGTAGTGATCAACGGCAGCTGATTAATCCTCCTCTAGAGAAACAGGCATGTTGAGATCAGGTACATTGTCCAAATCTACCCGATCAAGCTTTTTGACACCAACCTTAGCCGTCTGATGATGACGAAGGTCCCGCACCATCTTCTGATTGGATGCAGAGATGAGTTTGGTCATACGAAGCAGGATTTCAGAGACCTCAATCTCAACGGCACTAAACTCACTAAAACGACTAGTACTAGGCTTAGTGTTAGTAAGAGGATTAGGGTTATTATGGTAGGGGGTGTTAAGGCTGCACATATTCATTCTCTCTTGAATTTATCAAATTATATGCATTTGGTCAATGGATACTGTGCTATATATACAACTTGAGGGGACTTTTCTTTTTCCAATCCTATTAGGGAAAGTAGGTATCACCTAATTAAACCATTTGACCAAGTTATACAAATTAAAATGCAAGTCATAAACATTTTTTTATTTTTATTGGGCAAGGGTTCATTTTTCTTTTTTCTTTTCTCAATTTTGTGCTAGGTATGGCTGGAGTGGTCTCATAATCAAAAGTGGACTCTTAATACCAAGTCTAATTAGGATATATAAAGTTAAAACTAGTTATATCCTTTCTTATCTATTTTTGGACAAACGACCGTACCGCAACAAATGTTATGAATGAGACTATTAACATTATTAATACGTGGACTAATAATGTTATGTGATGGTGTGAATAATCTGTGGACATCAAGTTGTTTAATTGCTAACAAACAAACAAACAATATATGAGATATTCATAACATTTAAATCACGAAAATAGAAAAATGCTAGATAGGATCGTGATCTGCTTAGAAAATCCAACTCAGCAAAAAAAGAAGGTAAGAATATCCAATATTGATTAGGATGATGATTAGATTGAAAACAAAATCCGTATAAGTTAAGAAAAAAAGTATCCAAGTATATAGTTTGTTATGCAACAAATTATTTTCCAATTTATTGAATAAATACGATGTTATCTATATGAAAAAGTAGGAAAGTAAGTTAAGCCCTGCTTTTTACTTTTGATTTTTTGGTCTCATCATCAAAAGGGACTTGAATTCTCTCTTCTCTCATCCCCTCTTTTTTTTAATCTAGACCATTCAATGAAAATTTGATGGTTTGAAGTTGTGCCACATATTTAATGAGCTTCATTTTATTTTTATCGCTTTTGTCCAACAATCTTTCCCTAACTTTTCCATTCATGTTCACACCACCACTTATCGCCTTCCTTCTAACACACCAGCCATGAGTGGCTCCTTAAGTCGATCTAGAGGTCGTAACAAAACTTGACAACTATTTTGAAAGTCTTAGAGCTATCAATGAAGTAAGGAAAAATTCTTAGATTGTGTTGTCGTTCTTATCAATTTGTTCAACAACTTTTATATGCACCATACAACAAATAAAAAGAAACGCGTGGGGAGTAAATAGGAGGAAAGAGGATTTCCTCCCATCAAAAGGTGCCAAAACCTAGTTCTCAATTAAACATATGTGTCTTAATTAAAAAAAAATTAAAAAATTTGTTTGAACTAAAACACATAGAGCAAAGTAGGTGAACAATAACAAATCAACGGCTGGCAAGATCAACGGCTGACAGGTTGCCATCTAGGTTTCCAACGGTCACCGTCCGAATTCCAAACTACTTTTCCGATACTTCTAGAGAATAATTACCGCGTCAACCAAGTGTCTTGTCTCCTTCTGCTTTTTTTTTCGGTAATAATCTCTTTTCCTTCCATTTCTTTCTTTCTTCAACCACAAAATTAGGGTTTCATCAGTTTCTCACATTTTTCTCCAATTCCATTCGAACCACCCCAAAAAAAAAAAAAAAAAAAAAAACTGTAAGGCGATTTGACATTCGATTCCAAACGTGAAGTCGAATTCGAAGAAAAGCCCCAAGATACCCTCTTTCGATTTGGGGAAAAAGATCGAGGATTGCTTGAATTTGGGGAAACAGCTTGGACCTTTCTTTCTTTGAATTTGGGGGAGGTTCAGGGCTCTCGGAGAGGGCTGCATTTCTAAGGTTTTGCTTTTCTTTTCTCAAAGATCAAATATTTACCTCCAATTATGGATACCCAATTCCCCAAATCCCTAATTTCGATTTTTTCCCTATTTCTCTTCGCCTTCTTCATCGTCCTCTGCTCCTTCCCCGCCGTCCGATCAGAACCAGAATCCGTATCCGAACCCACCATCATCAGATTGCCCTCTGAATCCGAGCCCGCGGACGCCTGCGGCCGATCGACCCGGTCAGCCCCCTTGTGCCCCGTCAATTGCTTCCGTCCCGACCCGGTCTGCGGCGTGGACGGCGTGACGTACTGGTGTGGGTGCCAAGATGCCCAATGCGCTGGTGTCAAGGTGGAGAAATTAGGGTTTTGTGAGGTGGGTAGCGGCGGCTCCGCCCCCCACTCTGCTCAAGCTCTGCTTTTGGTTCACATGGTTTGGCTCATCGTCCTCGGCTTCTCCGTCATGTTCGGCCTTTTCTGAGAGTTTTCGGATTCCAGTCCAATTCGATTCATCGCTTTAGTTGGTTGTTCGGAAGCTGTATTGATGGAGCTCCCAAAGATTGCAGCTTTAGCAGATAATTTTAGCTAATACATTGTGGAAGATATGTCAAATTCATTACTTGCTGCACATTTCTGATTGATTTATTATCGTTTTCGCCCTCGGTTTACAAATTATTTGGCTCGGCTTTGAGGCTAATTGTGTTCTTTGATTTGAGGACAATTGGGTTGTTGGGTTTTGTTTTTGTTGATTTTCTTCTGAGGTTCTTGTAGATGCCAGCATGTATCTTACAGATTGTTGTATTCATCATTGTATTTGTATTTATCTGTACAACTATTGTGTAAACTTGAATCATAATTAACTTTCTAATTTCAGGTATTAATTTCCATACATTTGTTCAGAGGATGGGATTTTGAATTCTGAATAACTTCAAATCATTTACGTTTGATTTTTGCGAGAAAGGTTTGAGAACTAACAAAATGCTTGTTTAATTTGATGAAAATGTTTGTGTTTAATTTCATAAAAAGGAATGAATTAAGGGAGTTTTAACGAAAAGTCAACGGTACTGGTCATTTTAATGAAAAATTATATTTTTATACTAAAAAATCAAACATGTTACTATTAATTTTACCTTTTATATTGTTATTATCATTAAAATTTAAAATTTTTAAGTTTTTTTTTCATTAATTTAAGTTTTAACCCAAAAAAATGTGGTGGCCAATGTCTCAGCTGGAGCTGGTAAGCTGTTGCACCCACCCCCACCAAGGGGTTTGGTTGGTTCTACCTCTAACTTGTATTAGTGATCCAATAATTCATCCTAATCAACAATATATTTCCCCTGCAAACTTACATGCAATCGGGACATTGAAGACTAAAGAGAACTTACTTGCAATTGGGACATCTGTTTGAAACTACTTATTTTTGGAACTACTATTAAAAGCACATTAAAATTTATATTAAAAATGCAAGGGTTTTTTTGGGAAGAAGTACACATATGATGCTGTTTCTAGAAAGCATTTCAAGTGGTTTTTTCGTAAATATTTTTAACTTTTTTTGTCAAACATGATCATAAACACTTGTGAGAGAATAAAATTCGATTTAGACACACGTACCCATCTCAAGTTGTGCATATAGGGATATGAAACAAGCCCAAGGACGGAGATTCGTTATCAAGTTCTTTGTTAGCGGCCTACTAAAGTCATCACGCCCCACACTCAGTGTGAAGCATAGAGGGGAGGTGGTTTTTTTTTTTTTTTTTTTTTTTTGTGTCAAACGATAGATTTATTAGAATGAATGTTAGATTAGAGAGACGACAGAATTCAAACTCATGTCGTGATGCAAGAACAACACTTCTCTTCACCACTGTGATAGGAGGCCACTTACGAGGGGAGTGCATTTAACCCACTTGCATGCTATGTTAGTTGCCCTTCACTCACGCATAAGATGTAGAGCTAGTGATTCGACAAGCGTGTGAATTACAGTGAACAAAAACCTGTTGAGGTATTTCTTCTAAGAAATTTGGCTCCAAACAATCTATGAAAGCTGTTTTAGTTATTATAAAAGCAGTTCCTACGTTAGATTTTATGTTGATAGTAAATTCAATTGGTGTTGGGAAAAAGTCATAAAAATGCTTAAGTGGATTCTTTTGTTACTTTTTTGGTTTTAACTGTATCTTGGGCTGTTTGGATTGGCCCTTAATGATTGGACTGCTGAGGGGTCGCAAAAGTGGTTTGGGCTCGAATTATTGTATTTAGGACAAAAACTAAGAGAAGCAATTTTTGCATCACTATTTTCACTTTCTACACGAATCTGTTTTTATGACTATTAAATTGAATAAACTAAAAGATAATTGAGTGAATGAATAGAGATATGAGAGCAAAAGATGAAAAAAAGGAGTGGAGGGACAAAATTTAAACTTCCCTTTTTCTTTTGTGAGAGAAATTTGCAATAAATTCAACTTGTGAGCATCTTAATGGCCATTTCTTCTTAAAAAGTGGACTTAAAAGCCAAACCACCCCCACTAGATAAAACTAAACTCGAAAGGCCAAATACAATTTTCAAATGTGTGTTTTAATATAGTGAAAGTAAAAGGTGCTTTTATGTATTTTCAAAAAAGCTACACCAACTGAGGTGTTTTGTGATGGATGTTTCAACATGCCATGAATATAGTGCGGCACTCTGTAAGCTATTATACAAGTTGAGAGAATTCTTTTTTTAAGTGTTCTTCTAATTGTATAATACAATGACATATAGTTTATGTACTTGTATTACACTGAAAAATCTCTCGTGTTCTACCTTCAGACGGTACCAAAAACAAAACTACACCAATAGCCTCCAAAGTAGTGACAAACACTCAACAATGTCCAATTGGTTGTTATACGAAGACTTTCTTGTTCCTCGATCAACATCAACACAAACTAGAGACTCTTCAAGTTTGAATTTTCTCCAACAAATCATGGCCTCACATTTCAAAGCCAACGGTGAGGCTAAGAACCCAACTTTCCTCCAAGTGCATTATTCAACTGTGGATCCCACACACCGCTATTCCCTTGTGGTTTCCGTGTCACCAAATCCTTGTATTTCATGCCATGAAAATTCATCCGAAAGAAAATCATCTCTCTTGGAACAAATACTTCATCCTTTGGTCATGGACTCAGACTCTGGATTGCAGCAGAGCAAAAGGAGGAGGAGCCACCAAAGAGAAGATCAATCAGTAATTGGCTTGGAAAATTTACCACATGAAATCATCACTGAGGTAACATCAAGGCTGCCCTTTTCATCTCTGGTAAAATTCAGGTATGTATGCAGAGCATGGAAAAATTTAGCACAAGACCAACATCTTCGAATTTTCGATGCTTTGCATAACTCCAACACAGCTGATCTCAACAATCTGTGCCTGATTTTTCACTGTGATTACCCCATCAGAAACCATATTTACTTTGTAGATTACCCTTTTCACCATGGTGAAAAGGAGACAATGCTAGTGAAAAAAATTCACCCTCCTTTCTGTGGTTCGATGCCTGAGTTTGATGTGGTAGGATCATGTGATGGTCTGCTGTGCTTATCTGATTCGTTGTACAATGATGCAATATGCATATATAATCCGTTCACTAGGGATCATAGAGAGCTGCCTAAATCAGTTCGATTTCCTAATCAAGAAGTGATTTACGGATTCGGGTTTCATCCGATTACTAAGGAGTACAAGGTAGTTAAGATAGTGTACTATAGTAGACGGGAATCATGGAGCCGGTTTCGTGTGTATCGGCCACAATCAGAAGTTCAAGTTTTCACTCTTGGGACTTCTGATTGGAGAAGTTTAGGAAGAACATCTCACTACCTTCATCACTGGCCAGCTCAGGTCTTGGTCAATGGAAGGCTTCATTGGGTTACTTGGAGAAAGGGTTACCACCCGGGTCGAAAGCTCATTTCTTTTGACTTGGGAGACGAGCAGTTCAGGGAGGTACCGAAACTGGAAGGTGACGGATTGAGCAGGTGGAATTATCATGTGCTGGTTGTGAGAGGTTGTCTTGCTGCATTTTTTTACTGCAGTTATGGGAAATTGGAGATGTGGGTTATGGCGGAGTACGGTGTGAAGGAATCATGGGTTAAAGAGTTGACCATTGGAAGTTATGTGCCAAAGACATTGAAACAAGATGTTGATAGATCATGGAAGATTTCAAAGATTGTTAAAAGAGGAAGACATGTTAGGGTTTTGTGTGTTTTGGGGAGTGGCCAGATCTTGTTGGAGTACAAAAGCAGAGCTCTAGTTGTTTATGAACCAAGTAGTCGAAAGTTTAAGGATCTTTTGTTTCAGGGGATGCCTAAGTGGTTTCAAACTGTTGTTCACGAGGGCACTCTCAATCCGATACATACTCTTGTTAATATGTGATGGCAGGCAATGAGAAGACAGTGGCTCTTGCGCAGGTTCTTTGATGGAATTGTTGGGGGGGGGGGGGGGGGTGGTGTGGTTGAGATGTCTTTGTTTCTGTATTGTTTGTAGAATTGTGTCCTAAACAAATGTAATGAAACCAACATGAAATTCTTCATTTACTCTGATCATTATATGGTTAACTTACATAACGTGGGGTTGAGATGTCTTTGTTTCTGTATTGTTTGTAGAATTGTGTCCTAAACAAATGTAATAAAACCAACTCTTCATTTACTCTGATCATTATCTGGTTAACTTACATAACGTGGGGGGCGGGGTGTTGAGATGTCTTTGTTTCTGTATTGTTTGTAGAATTGTATCCTAAACAAATGTAATGAAACCAACATGAAATTCTTCATTTACTCTGATAATTATATGGTTAACTTACATAACATTTACATATGCATCATAGAAATTAGCTTAACTAGTCTGAAGCTATTCTGTGCGACGATTACAGAACTACAATTCAATTATTCGAGCATCAGTCTTTACATCCTTGAGTTGAACTCAATTTCGTACGGAAGACATTTGAATCCCTGCATCTTAACTTGTTTCAAATGATCATGTGTGAATTCAGAATGCATCTGGGCCTGTGGTTTGTCACGGCTGCAGTATATTCCCAAATGTCTCAAGCAAACTGCGATACTAAACGAATTTTCTACCCAAACAAAATGCATCCCGTAGCAACTAAAATCACAACGAAAGAATATGGTTACTGATCATTTTATTCTTTAGTAATGAAACTTAAAGCCCTACTTCATAAAGCTCTAACTACTAACTACTGTCTCTAGTTTCCAGACATCAGCCTCAAGTTATTATCAGGTGTCGAAATAACAGCAAAGAAGAAAGCAAATCAAGGTAAAGATCACGAGTAATCTAATACTAACCGTTACTACAAGCTCTTGCTATGAGGTGTAAACTTGAGGAGATTCAGAACACACTCGAGGTAAAGATCACGAGTAATAATTTACTTTCAATGCAACCTGATTTGCCTTTTCTTTGCTGAAATCTGGACACCTAATAGTTTACCTAAGATTGATGTTTGGAAACTAGAGTTTAGAGTTAGAGCTTTATGTTGGAAAATTAGTTTTAATATTATTGTTAGTTTTATTGTTCTTCTTGTAAGCCAGGGATTAGGATTCCTTGCTCGTTAAATTTATTTGTCTTGCTCGTCAAGTTTGGGTTTGCTATCGTTTTCTCGTATAAATAGATGTTTGTACTGTTGTTAGAAGCAAGTTAGTCACAAAAAAAGTCTTACTAGTTATCTAGTCGCTTTGGCAAATTTATAATGTTCTGTTTTGTTTCGATTAATAAAATATTATTTGTAGTTTAGTATTATGTTCGTTCATTCAGGGTTTAATCCACTCTTATTTGATATCAGTTTTCTAGAGTTTGTTGATCTGTCTTATTTAAGTTCGTGAAAATTGTATGTTCTTGTTTTTGGATCTTGATTAAGATTCCGCTTTCGTTGTGCTCATGTTCGTTTTCTGTTTTAGGGTTTTACTCTATCTACTCGTAGGTCACTAGCAAAAGTGCATGTGTGATGATGTAGGTTTTAAAATCGTATAAAACATATAGAAAAGTATAAACAAATATGTGTGTGCGTGTGTGATAGGCAATACTATCATGCATGTGAAGATCTACTTGCAACCTTATTTATAGTAAGGAACAAAATTTTCTTAATTTTGTCCTCTTCAATCAAACCTCGTGACTATACTATTGGAGAGATCCTCTCTAGAAACCATGACATAGTTATGGTAGCGTTATTCGTGGAACATATGTTTGTTATGGGTTCAAAACGTACACCATTCGTCTATTAAAAATTTACCACATGATAAACTGGTGACAAGAGTACCTTTTATGTTGTTGTCAGTTGTTTTTGTGTATAGTGATTAGTGAAAGTGAGGACTTGAAGCATGACCAAATAACAATTCTTTTTATTCCTTGGTGACCATATTCAGGCTTCACCAGTGTAATAATAATTCCAAAAAAGAGTGTGTAAGAGGTGACGATATGGAAGCATATGGGAGCAAAGTTGCACTTGAAAACGGCCAAAACTTTTGATAGATAAGTAGTGAATGATTTCCTTCTTGGGATTACGCAACATCAATAGAGTCCCGAACTGCAGAATGAAATAGTAAATCACTTAGATAAGTTTTCTAGGCTACGATATATTGTCACGTTTATAGCCTTGCAAACATCAGTGAAAATCAAACTTACTTGGAAGTGAGTTTGGGCCTTGCTAGCCACCATAATGCGCGCATCACCCATTCAATATCTCCGTTTTCCTTCTAAACGCTCCAAGATATGTTCTTCATCGGTCAGATACTGGACCAAGCCTTCAAAATAATTCAAAGTAAATAAATACATCAACCTCCTAAGCACATCTTTACTAATAAGATAATAAATTATACCTAAGTGAATATTGACATCCTATGTAAATTGTTACCATTGGTATAATTCCGACAATCATGATGGCCAACTCTCAGCTTAGTTTCCCACAGTTTGTTGAATTCAAGTGCCATATCTATGGCACCTGATCCTTTGGGAGAACCAACGTACCAGCATTTTCTTCTCGGCAGTTTCGACGACTTCCTCATAAGAACAACTCCTAAAAGAAAAATGCATGCTAGTCTAAAATACCAAGAAATAAAAGCAAACTTAAATGGAACCCAAAGATAAATTTGTAATATTATGTTGCAGGGTTATAATTATATCAGTACAGTCACAATTTCTTCTTTAATTTCATAAGCAACATTCGATGGTATCTCTATTATATATTCAACCCATACAAATTAACTAAGGTTCAAAGTTTCACAGGTAGAAACTAAAGGATCAAAAACAACTAACAGGGTGCCGTAGTCTGTCAAAGAGTTATGCGGTATGAGATCAAGGATTCCAAGGAACGGTGTTTCAAAGCGGTATATCAGACAGGACAGACAAGACCAAGCCCCGGTTTGAGGTGCACAAGTTTTAAGTTTAGGTGTTCTTCGACCTTGATGTTTGCATTTTAATTATTTTCAATAACTTACTAATGCATATGCCAATTAGCGATGAACTATGCTTTCTTGAGCAACATGAAAGATGTAGTAGATGATGCAGCTAGTTAGGCTTACCTGGTATTGCTTTTCCGGATAGAACTGCAAGGGCTGCATATATGTTTTCAGGATCTTTAGGTTGAAAATCGAAAACTATGGCCTGAAAAAAGAGACTAGACGAATTTAGAGTTCAAATTTTCAAACTTTTGTATTGAAAAGGTAACAAAATATGGATACCAGGGCTATGTTAATATACATTTTCCCAAAAACTTTTGTACTGCACCTTACTAGCGTTGGAGATTAAGTACTAATTAGGAGACATTTTTTCCATAGCAGTTAACTTTTCTTTTCACTTGAGTTAGACTACTTTAATTAATTTCAAGAAAAAAACGTTTTTCATATTTATATTTTTTACCATGTTTTTGTTCTTGTAGCATGCTTTATCTTCTCAACTACTACTAAAATCTAAATATAAAAAAGTTTGGTATTTGAAACAGAAAAAAGCAGCATTTAACATTTAATCTCAATTTACCCTTTTCGTTTTTGTTATACCAATTCACCATTGGGCTTCAAGGTGATTTCATATCAAAGATTTAAGCACTCTTGAATCAAGCATATCAGTTTGCGGATGGTGGTGTGTCTGGATCAGGAGGCATTTAAAAGGGTGATTGTGCAGTCATTGTCTTAAGTTTGATAGGCATGCCAAAGAAGGAAGGGGCTCTGTCTATTGAAGGTATCCTTCTTGATGTGTGGGAGTTAACGAAACAACTGGAGCTAGTTGAGTGCTCATACGCTTCCCGACGTTGTAATGGAGCAGCACAATCTGTGGCTTCTTTTGTGAGTAAGAATGGAAGAGTCTATAGATTGGGCATGTTATTTCCCGTGTAGTTGTTTAATATTCTTGCTCATGATATAAACATTTATATTCGACTTAATGAATTCTATCGTTTGACAAAAAATAAAAAAAAATAAAGCATCAGTTTGGTAATGAAATTGCATGAGAGTTGACTTTTTGGCAAACTGAGATTATGTACTAGTTGGGACACAGGTTAGGAAATAGATTTTAATGTTAATTATAGTAAACAAAAATCAACCAAGTAAATTAAATTGCCTAAGAAAATCCAAAAGAATAATTAGTGTACTAGCTAAGCTACCTTATATAGAGAAATGGAGGGAGGAGAACCTGACAATCAGGTGGTGGTGGGGAGGGTTTAATGATAACCATGAAATGCTGCAAATTCCAGAGATTGAGAGAGTAAGCAGCAGATGTAAGCAGCTGGGCGGGTCCTTTTGTTGCTCTTAGAGGCACTGCTGCAACATAAACTTCATCCCTTCCTCTTGTCACTGTTGGTTTCGTGAGCAGTGAGGCCATTTGGTTTTCCAAAAAAAAAAAAAAAATATTGAATCGGTTTCAGATGAACAACAAAAATATGAAAAAAATTTAAATATTATTTTTATATTATTATAAAGGGGATAATTCGCAATTTTGGGTTCATTTCTGTCCACAAGGTTAGCCTTGGTGGAAGTCATTTGTCAATTGACCCAATCCCCGTCCAAAGATTATAAAAGACAAATGTTGTGTGAAAGTTCCACGCACAAGATAAAGTTCGGAGATTTCTTCACACTTTCATATCATTTTTAACTTTTAAGGCCCATCAAGCGTTTTATATTGAAAAATGTAAGCCAGGTGTGAAAATCAAGGTAAAATAATATGCCAGCAGGAGTCATCTAACGTGACTTATACGGTTGAACCTATAGCTCATCAACCTATGCCTGCACACGAGTCAGAACCACCTAATGTGGTCTGTACAATAGGCTGGGTGTAAATAAGTACGCTCAAGTACTACCATCACGTGAAGGCTGTGCGATGATTCGCGGGTCACCTACGAGTCGGAACCACCTATTGTGGTCTATACGATAAGCTGGCACCAGACTTGGATCCAAGGTCACATCCCAGAGACTTGGATCCAAAGTCACATCCTGGCCCAGGCCCCCACCACATCCCGATCTCGACTCCACCGTAACACGATATTGTTCGCTTTGGGCCCCGACCATGCCCTCCCGGTTTTGTTTCTGGGAACTCACACGAGAACTTCTCAATGGGTCATCCATCCTGGGATTGCTCTCGCATGAACTTGTTTAACTTCGAAGTTTCGATGAACTCTGAAATCAGTGAGCTCCCAAAAGGCTTCGTGCTAGGTAGAGATGGGAATATACATATAAGGCTTACATAATCCACTCCCTTGGACGATGTAGGATGTTACAATCCACCCTCCTTAGGGGCCCGACGTCCTCGTCGGCACACTTCTGGCCAGGGATTGGCTCTGATACGAAATTGTCACATCCTGGCCCGGGCCCCCATCACATCCTGAGCTCGACTCCACCATAGCACAATATTGTCCGCTTTGAGCCCCGACCACGCCCTCACGGTTTTGTTTCTAGGAACTCACACGAGAACTTCCCAGTAGATCACCCATCCTGGGATTGCTCTCACATGAACTCGCTTAACTTCGGAGTTCCGATGAACTCCGAAGCAAGTGAGCTCTCAAAAGGCCTCGTGCTAGGTAGAGATGTGAATAGACATATAAGGCTTACAAGATCCACTCCCATGAACGATGTGAGATGTTACATATACACCCATTCTTATCTCCAAATATACCTTAAACTCCTAACAACCACATGATAAACCTTTGTCATCAAGGAAAAGAAAACTTAAAATCAGAAAGAAAAACTTGATCAAGTAGAAAATGCACGTAACTCAAGTTGTCATGAAACAAGTAGTAGCTATGTATATAGTACTACAATGGTCGATCTTATTACTCAAATATTCAAACATCCGTACGTACATGCACCACGATACAAATCATCATGTCTACCATATGTATATGGAGAGCTAGCATTATCTATGATCCACACTCACCTCACCTTCTTTGTACGTCACTCCTTATTTAATTTCTTAAACCACACTAAATGAAAGACATTTAATTGATCTCTTCACATGTATGCAAACCCCAATATACCCACTAATAATACAACTTAAAATTTCACTCAGTCTTCTCCACCGGGGCTTCAGTACCAGCTTTCTCCTCAGCATCATCAGCTGCCTTCTCTTCTTCCTTAACTACTACCTCCTCTTTAGGGGCTTCAACTGCTGATTCTTCCACCGGTGCCTCCGGTGTAACTGGTGCCACCGGAGGAATTTCAGCAGTATTCTCCTTGTCCTTGGCCTCCGACACAAGCACTGGTTCTGGTTCTGGCTCAGGGGCTACCTTATAATTAGGCGTAGTAGTTTCCTCTTCAGTTGTAGTACTCTTCTCCAGAGTTGGTTCTTCTTCTTTTTTGACTCCTACAACTTCCTTGGGCTCCTCTACCTTCACTTCCCTTGTCTCAGCTTCGACTTGGGCTTCCTCATCTTTTGCAACTAGGTTTTCCTCGTCTTTTGAAGCCTCCGCCTCAGCCTTAGGTACTTCTTCCCCAGAAGCCACAACAGTCTCTGCAACTTCCTTTGGCTCCTCCGCAACTTCAGTTGGTGCTACTTCTTCTGTAGTAGCAGTGATAATAGCCTCTTGAGCCTTAACTGATTCCTCGTGATGAGTTGTATCCTCTACAGGAAGAGCTGTCTTTGCTGATACAACCTGCATGATCATATACATACAGATACAACTCTTTGATTAATATTTTGTAATAGTTAAAATTGTAAGAGAGCTTGAACTGATCGTCACAAACACAAATGTGTTTTACATATTGAACAAATTAAGGGAATGATTTTTGCAGAAGTCTTTATTTTTGTCCCTAATTCCTCTTTGATCAAAATAATACAAGTAAATAAAGATATATTGAAAGACAAAATAAATGTTCGGAAATCACTTCACACAAATCAATGTAAAATGAACCAGTCTAGAACCGAAGTTGAGTGAACACCTGAGCAGTGGCCATAATGAGAATCGAAAAGTGATCAAATTGAACAAATAAGAAGATCGAGAGAAAGGCGAACTTAGAAGAGGAGAGCGCTAAGAACAAATTAAAACTAATGGTTGCATGAATAAAAATGATCAATGGGATGGTTTATATAGAGGAGTCCATAGACCTCACTGCCTCGTGGTTGATGCACGAGAGGACTCCAGTGGTGGGAAGAAAAAAAAATTTCTCACCGCCCTCAAATGATGGTGGTGCTTATCATCTATTATTGTTGGATTAGTTTAAATCTCGAGATCTGTATAATAGATAGACACTGATGAGTTGATATTATACCACATATTTTACCCTAATCTTAGTATTAATTTATTGGTTATTTTGGTAGAATTTTGATACTTTGATATGAATTTTTAATGTAGGACATTCAACTTCCTCTGGAGTAAAACATGATAAAACGGACGAATTTTGGAGTGATTCAAATTGGAGAACGTTCATATGTCTCTCAACTTGTTCGTTTCAAAATTTCAGCAATTTCTACCAAGCAGTTTATTTATGGCGATGAAATAAAGGAGTAGTATGCATTGCTAGAAAGTGACGTTTTTGGGCTTTAATGCAGTTTTTGGAGCCCAAGATGGTTTCAGATGGGTTTGTGGCCTTCTCAAGAAGTATTTGGAATAGTCCAAGCTTTAAATCCAGCTATTTTGGGCCAGTTTTGGAGCTGATATGGGTCCAAAACGTGGCTGTGAACGATTTTGGGCGAATTTCCAAGTTAATTTAGGATTATGTTTCCTAATTTATTTCAATTTATTTGGTTTCCTAATCTTATTCTAAGACCTTTTCTAGGTAGGGTTTTATTTTGTAGTAGTATAAATAAGGCTTTTTAGCCATTAGGGTTTAAGAAGGAGAAAAGGAGGTGAACGCACACACTACTTTAGAGGATTCAAGTTTATTATCAAGGTGTTTTCTATCCATGTTTTTAATAATATTTCATTTTATGATTGTTCGTAGCTAGTTTCGTTTGTTAGGGCGAGGCCATGAGCCTTAGCAAGAATATGTAGCTTCTTTTCAATTTGCTTATGATATTATGTATGCAAGTTTTTAATTATTAATCACTATATTTAAAACTATCTACCTGTTTTGATGATTGGCCACCATTAAGATATTTAGAAAAGTAATTTGATGCAATTTTGGCGGAGGGTTGTCCCTAAAATTCCTGAAATTGACTAAGGCTTCCTGTGCTTAATATGTGTAACTTCTTAGGATGGACGACAAGTCTTAAGGGTTATATGGTTTTTCAGAAGGTTTTTACAAAATTTATTGAGTCTTGCACGTTCACATTCGATTTGAACATCACGGACAGATTGCATATTAGATATACGTTCTATGTTGGAGGTTCCAAGTAGGACATACTTTAGGAAAAACCTAACCTTCAAGTATGCATGGGTAATTCATAAATAATTGGAAGAACTACATAGGATTGTTAAGGTGACGGTGGAACCGTAGTGCTCAAATTTATTTTCAAAACTATTTTCTTTTGGTTTTCTTTACTTTCTCAATTTATTTATTTATTTATTAATTAAATTTGATTTTAATATATTAGGTCATTAAATCACCCTTTTCTAAACTTTGTTTTAAATAATTAATTAAGATTTGATTTTAACATAAATCATTCATTCAATCCTTATAGAAAACGACCTTGCTTGAGCTGCTATACTACAACAACATTGTACTCTTGCAAGTATTTTTAAGCGTTTTTATCTCTACTTTTGCAGGTGGTAAAATCCTTATAAGACATAAATCTCAAAATTTAAATTCATGTAATAATAATAATAATAACAATAATTAAATAGGGTGGTAAAGAATTGCCACTGCTTGAGAGTGGTGAACAAAAATGCACACCCTAATAGGGGAGATTAAATCTTCTGTATCCAAAATAAGTGTGGCCTCTCTATAACCTCAATCATTAACTGATACGTGTTTATAAATTTAACTTTTTTTACCTTTATTATTAGAAATTTAATATATATCCCAGTCAATAATTAAGATCACATGGAGACTACACTCTTTATGGATTCAGAAATTTTTTTATCATGGTGGGGTGGCGAGGGCGATGGTACTTGAGGAATCTTGGGATTTGACACCTCAAATCTCTCAAAATTGAAGAGATTGGCATGTTTGGTAATAATGTCACACAAAAGTTGTTGGATCCAATTTGGGTTAAATAATCGCTCTTAAGGTAGTTAGAGAAATGCTAAATAAATTTTTTTAAAAGTGAAATTTTTTATAGATTTTTTGTCATTTTTTATTTTTTAATTTTGACACAATATTTTATAAATTGGCACATAAATTAAAATTCAATTATGTATGATGATAAAAAATCTATAAAGATTTCTACTTTTGAAGGAGACTCATTAGCATATTTAGAAGGGTAGGAAATGCCAATAATGGACGTCCTTCGCTTTTTAAATCCAAGCCATCATTCTTCTTTCGGTTGCGTGTGCAGTGTGCTCATGTGCT